AGATGACTACGAGTCTGAGCTATGTAGCAAGACCTTGTATCAAATAAATAAAAAGATTAAAAGAAAAATGTCTCAAATCAGTCATCTAAGTTATACCTCAACAAATTTTATAGAAAAGCAAGATAAATCACAACAAAAAGCAAACAAACAAAAAGAAGGAAATAATAAAGACAAAAACATAATAATTAAATGAAACAAAAATCTCATTCTTACCCACTCCACACATATGAATTTAACAACAGATAGAATGGGTTGATTTCTCAAAAAGCTAAGTCTTCCACAACTACCAAAGAAATAACGTGAGTAACTCTGAAGAGTTGAAAAGACATCCTGTAAGTATTAAGTAAATTGAGTAAATTTACTTAATTAATATTAAGTAAATTTTAAAACTGAAAAAAAATCACTAATTTTACTGGAGAATCCTATCAAACATTTAAAAAATAGCGCTTGCCAATTCACTTAATGAGGCCAATATAGCCTTGATATTAAAAACAGAAAAAGACAGAAAGAAAATAGACTAATATCCCTCATCAGTACTGATATAAATATCTTTAAATATGAAAAAAATATATTATCACCAAGTGGGTCTCATTGAAGGAATGCAAGACTGGTACGATATTCAAAATTCAATATAATACACTATTTTAGCAGGTTATAAGAGAAGTCACCTGATTGTAAAAGATATTTGACAAAATTTAATACCTACTCATGTTAAAAATTTGATATAGGCCATAATATAAAAAAGTCACTAAATTAGACTTCATTAATATTAAAAGGTTTTAGCTGGGTAGGGTGGTACAGGCCTGAAATCCCAGCTACTCAGGGGGCTGAAGCAGGATGACTGCAAGTTTGAAGCCAGTATGGATAACTCAGTAAGACCTTGTATCAAAATAAAAGTTTAAAAAAGGGCAAGGAACTATATAGCTCAGTGGCAGAGCACTTGCCTAGTATATACAAGACCTCTTACAATCCCCAGACTTGAAAAAAAAGAAAAATATATATATGTATTTTTTCCTCCGAATGTCTTCAGGGCAGGTATGGCTGGCTTGAGTTGTGGGGATCGAACCACAGCCACCTGAGCCTGACAGCTTTGGGGAAGCAGCCACATAAAGAACTGAGCTAGGGCCAGGGCCCCAAGAAAAATATTTTGATGCTGTGAAAAATCCAATTAAGAGAGTAAAAGGACAAACAGATTGGGAAAAATTAATTGCAAGCCACATGTCTGGCAAGAGCTGTCTAGATGATATAAAGAATTGTTAAATTCTTCAGTTAGAATACCCCAGTACTCCTGTTAAAATATAAGCAGAATATACTAAAGAGCTATTTACTAAAAAAAGATGAAAGGAACAACAAAGATGAAAGAAGAGTATACAAACACAGGAAAAGATGGCCAATATCACTTTAGCCATTAGGAAAATGCAAATTAAAATCATAATAAAATATTACCATACACATAGTAAACAAGGCAAAATAAAAATTAGCAATAATATTAAATGCTAGAAATAATGTTGAGAAACTAGATTTTTCATACATTACCAGTAAGACTGTATTATGACTTAAATGTAGTGGAATCTAAAAGTGTGTTTAATTTAAAGAAGCTAAACATACACTCATATGACTTAGCAACCATATTCTTAACTGCCATCATTGGAAATGAAAACCTTAGTATATACAAAAACTTATGCAAAAATGTACAGAGAAGATTCGTTTATTTAACATAAAAATAGAAGTAGCCACATTTTTCTTCAACAGGTAAATGGTTAAATTTTGGTTCATTTATATCATGAAATACTGATAAGCTATAAAATGGTTCATCTAATATATGCAGCTATAAAATGATGTAGTACATACTGCTGGATAGATCTCAAGAGTATTAACTGAGTGAAGAAAGGCTAAAATCAAAAGTTCAATGCATAATTTCACTGACATTCTCAAAGTTACAAAATTATAGAAGAGGACAAAAGATTAGTGATCTCTATAGATTATGGAGGGTGAGGGCACAAAGAGATGGGCAGGACTGTAACAGAAGGAAGAATATCTTTGTTGTGACAATAATAATCCTGTATTTTGATTATGGTGGCTTCATAGATTTACATGGAACAAAATGGCCTATAACTCTATACATACATTGTACCAAAGCTAATTTTGCTCATTTTGATATTATAGTTATATAGAATTTAGACAATGGCAGAATCTGAATAAAGAGGACATGCAAACTTTGTAGCATTTTTGTAGCTTCTTGTGAGTTTACAATTATTCAAAAATAAATTTGAAATATTTCTATGAATAATTTAATTTATGCATATACAAAACTTGCTTAAAAGCTGTGCTTCCCCCCACTCTATTCTAAAGAGAACACTACTTTATCTTCATCATTCAGAGCTGTTTGAATTATATAATGCTACACACAAGAACATGATACCTACTGTAAAATTACCTATTGTTTCCTGCGAAACTGTGCTATCTTCAAAGGAAACACTACATTTGATTCATTTTTTCAATCCCAGCCACCTATGACCATTCCTCATATATTATAAGAATTCAATAAATACTTTTTAAATAGCATTTTCAAGAAAGTCTACTCGACATGGAGGATTAGAATTTTACAGCATATGAATGAGGCTACTGCTTAGCTTTTGGTGAAATGAGGCTTCATTTTTATGTACTTTAAAAGCCTTCAAGTATTAATGAAGAATAGAACTTTCTGATCATGAAGCAAAAGAAAGTTTATTTATGCTTCCAGAAAAAGTAGGTGTTACATGGAGAGGGAAATGTGGTGACGGAACTTACGAAGACAGCAGAATTTAAAGAATGTTAGGTAATGATTTTTAAGTGAAAGAAAAGTACCTCTAAAACAACAGAAAATAAATTAATACTGCAATTGTGTTCATGTGGGATGTACGTTTCTAGTAAGAATATATACAAAGAGAAAATATTAAGTTTGATCAAGGAAGCAACAAGAATACACAAGGTGTTACTGAAAAACACAATGAATACTTAGTTCTTTTCATTATATATTACAGGAAAATAAACATTGTAGTAGCTCTTCAAATCCTCTCTCTCATGTCTTTAGCTGTGCTAAAGTGTAGTCATCTGCTTCAATGACATGACACGATTCACATGTTCACCTTTCATGGTCTTTTTGACTATGTGGAAGAATCAGAAGTTACACAGCTCTAGATACAGTGAATAAGGTGAATAAAAGACACACTGTACTGTTTTTATAAGCCTGCCTTTCCATTGGATGGTATCTTTCAGCAGCATTCACTATATTTTTGATCACACCTTATACAGGCACTCATGAAATAAGACTTCCACAACTGCTTCGGAAAATGCTAAGAGTTAAAAAAATAAAAATAAAGATAAAAAAGGTAAATAGTAAGAGTTATGAACAGTGTTTAAGGGAAAATATTTTGAGGAGGATTGATAGCAACACGTCTTTTAGTGTAATAAGTTTTTAAAACTTAAACATTGGGGGCCGGGGAGATGGCTCAGTAGGATAAGTGCTTGACTGGCAAACACAAGGATCTGAGTTCAATTCCTGGTTCCACCAAAAATAAATAAATAAATAAATAAATAAATAAATAAAACTTAAACATTAAGCTCAGCAACACAGCACCTGCACAGTAAGTGCAAGGTCCTGAGTTTGATTCCTGACAGACACAAAATATACGCTTACTGTATATTTTGATCAGACTCCATATAAGCACTTCCTTATAAAAACTAGCAGATTATTATTATTATTATTATTATTGCAGAACTGGGGATTGAACTCAGGCCCTTCTGCACTTGCCAGGGAAGCGCTTATTCCACTGAGCCATCTCTCCGGCCCTAGCAGTTTGTTATTTTAAACTGGTATAAATGCCACATTTTATTGTTTAAAATATAACTGCATACAATTTATTAGCATTTTTCTTAAATACATTAAGCTAGCAATCTTTATGCAAAACTATGCTGGATACTTTGAGCTAAAGCAATTTAAAGCTAAGCAACTTAGCTCAGCAGTACTGATTTTACAGAAGAATTGTTAAGGGAAGAACAACATAAATGTGCTTAAGTGTGTGACAATTGATAAACAGGTAATACACCTGTTATATTTGATATTATATCTGCTAGATGCAATTAAAGAATTATGTAGTTAACCAACCACCTTTCTTCCCAGACTGATCTCACAACCTGAACTCTCATTTATTTACTGCTTAACCTTCTCTATAATGACATAAAAAAACAAAGGATTTTGTGTAATGTTAATATAATTTAAAAACATTTTTAATGATTTTATTGAGAAACAAAGCCTGGGCTGGGCAAATGGCTCAGTGAAATAAGTGCTTGCCTGGCAAGTGTAAGGGTCTGAGTTCAATCCCCGGTTCCGCAAAAAAAAAGAAAAAAGAAAAACAAATAGCAATGAGACAGTTTCAAAACCAATTAGTAGGACAGTTTCAATAATTAATACAATGCATATTGTTGTCTTCTTAGCGGTTATTTAAAAACACTATTTTTGAAACCCGTCAAAAGACCAACCTGATTGCTCAGAAGTACTCTAATCTAACATTGTAAAAGACAAAGTAATCCTATAGGTCTTCCACAGAGGACAGAAATTTACATAGCAGTCATTGTTATATTCAACTTGTGCAAGCCAAGATATTTCCCTACAAATCTTTGACAGCAATCCCCCCATAGCCATTTTCTTTCTTTCTTTCTTTCTTTCTTTCTTTCTTTCTTTCTTTAATCTTTTACTTATGTATTTATTTGATATTAGGGTCTCGCTATGCAGCTGGGACTCATACTGATCCTCCTGACTCAGCTGGAATTATAGGTTGGTGCCACCACACCCAGATTCGGTGTCCTGCATGGCACATCCTGGATTCCTGGGCCGGCATGGCATATAGTACTTGTGCTTGCCAGGGAGGCACTTAGACTTCCAAGCTATCTCCTAGCTCTAACCCAGCCATTTTCTACTCCAATTTAAAGATAGTGTTGAAAAAACAGGTAGAACTCACCAATTATAATCCAGTCGAGACTGATGAAGCTGCTTCTGTTTCAGGAGAAGCTTCGTCTCCTGCTGAGCTAGCAGATGCTGAAGGCGCTCTTTTTCAATTTCTAGCTCAATTTTCTGAAGAATCAGTTGTTGCCGTCTATCTTCTGAGAGTTGCTTTTTGACTTCAGCTTCACTGGACTGCAGTGCTCCTTTACTATGCATGACAGATGACCAAGAAAGTCCACAGTAAATGCATGATTTTGGATGTGTGTTAGAATACTGAAGGGCCATGTGTGTAGGATGGATCTCATGAACATGATCTTCATTTTCAGAAAGTCTGTGACCACAACATTGTCTAGATGGTGTAGGCTTAAGGTGTGGACATTCCTTCATCTTCAATTCTTCTGGTGGAGCTATTTCTGTTGGGGCTGCATTCACTGGTTTTCTCCTTGGAGATTCAGAATTATATGTTCTTGTCTCTGATGGTAGCCTCTCCAGACCTTCTGTGGGATGAGAAAACGGTGTTGGTTTCAAAGAATTATTCCTAAACTCCATAAGGGATTCTGAAGCTGAGTCCTGGTTTGCAGATTTAGGTCTTTGCTTGCTTTGATAATAGATTTGTGGTTTGGCTACACTCAAGTATGAACCATCCAGTTCCACAGATGAAGACTGGAGAATGCCTTTCTTATTAGTTATCTAAAAAGAACCATAATGTCACATGTCAAATAATACAATAAGACAAGTTCTTTTAACTTTTCAGTATTTAAGAATATAGGTTTATTAAAAAACATTGTCGGGGCTGGAGAGATGGCTCAGTGGTCTAAAGCACCTACCTAGAACAAGCTTGGCAAAGCATCAGGGACCGTGGTTCAATCCCCCAGCACCACATGCCAGCCAGTTCCGCCCCCTGGTGGGCTGAGCTGGCCACACACACACACCTCTCTC